GTACAGTACACACATCTACAGCTGTTACAGTTGTAGTAATTTACACAGTAAGTAAGTACAAGCACAGTGGAGTCTGTTGAATCTACAGTACTGTTTTGATCAACAATGTACATGATTCAGATGAGAATCTGAATCATAGGGCTGCAACTAACAATTCTTTTTGATTATTCAGGCCATGAACCCGAAGAATATCGTTCTCTTACATGATTCTGTGCTGTGTGATGACAGCTCGCCCTTCACTGTCCAGAAGCTGCAGCTCTTTGCTGGGAAACTCAGTGTGGTCCCCGTAGCATCCAACAGACCCCTCATGGTTGGTCAACAGACCTGTGAGACCCTCCTCAGCAGCAAAAGGAGTGGCACTGTCCTTACAGTATGTAGCAACCCCTGTGCACATCAAGAATGATTTCATTTGCTTAGTGCTGTAATGTGTCAACAGCAGATGTAATAGTCGTTTCAACTAAGTGCCCATTCATTAAAACCAAATATGGCAAAATGAAAGAGAAAACAAAAGAGTCATAACTCATGTGCACTAGATGAACTGTTATGACTATGTAATCAACCTGAATAGCCGCTGCGTCCTCGACTGTAGCCGAAATAGGAGTTGTAGCCGTCAACAATTGCACTTCTTTCATCAAGCCAGTCTCCTGTGGGGGACAAACTGGGATTTAGCTTTTTATTATTTCTATTTAAGACAGCTCCCGCGTTTTCCAAACTCCTATGCAAGCCACTTACTTGTCACTTTTGTCTCTTGAACACAGATAATATCTGCGTCCAGTGAATCAAGAGTCTTTTTAATGCCGCCTGTGAAAGTCCTTATGCCATTAATGTTCCAGGTAACGACCTTCATTATGCAAACTATAGTAGTTTAAGTGGAGAGATGCTCCACCAGAGAGTGTGCGCATCCGGAAGAAATCAGGAAGTCAAGCAAAACACGAGCGGAAGTGTATTTCGTCACTACTCTTTAGTTATTTCTCTCGGGTATCGTGTTCGTTGATAAAATAAACTTATTGTCTTCATTACATTAATCTTTAATTTGTATGTCATAATAGACAGCAAAACCGATATCCACCGAAATACAGAAAATAAAGAGAATTTCTTGGGGTAATTGCATTTCGCCGTTGCCTAGCTAGAGGGAGTAGTCGTGCCTTCAGGTTTTCGGCGCGCTTTTGACACTCGACCTGAGCAAAAGAGCGAGCGGGGCGTGTGTGAGTGAGGGAAGCGGCTGTTCAGTAAACCGATTGTCACCCCTGGCTATCTCCGTTATCAGCAACTTTCACTGCTGACAGCTCCCGAAGGAGGTGTAAAGTTAACGTTAGCTTGCAATCGACGAGCCCCGTCTTTGAAACGAAACCAAAGGGTGAGTGGCTAGTTTGGCTTGTCGAGCGTTAGGTTAGCTAATTAGCTTGTCTGGATGGATCCAATTAACGTTACGACAGGACTGTGTGACTTGGCTTTTGGGTGCCTTATGTTCTGCTAGCTAAGGTCTGGGTGAATTTAGCCACTTACAAAGCTAAGAAGCTATCTAGTTAGGGCTAAATAAATTCTTCACTTCGACGGTGCTAATAGCATTGTGGTATTATTTTCTGTGTATGGTAACGTTACACTTGCTAGTTGTCTGGGCCGCATCCTGTTTTCACTCCGGTTCCGTCATTTGTACGTTAATGTTATCGATTTTATGTCTTCTAGGTAGCAAGCTGACTTTGGAAACATTGGTAACGTTAACATATAACGCTAGGCTGCCACAATATGGAATATTTATACTTTTATTTGCTTTGATTTGATGCTGTGAAGACATATTGTTAGTTTTGTTGGCTAGGAGAAAGACGTGCTTATTGGGTTATATAATCTGGCACCGGAATAGCCGGTGTGCGGTGTTTCCATTATCGGTCAGAGGAGAGGACATGGGGAAATGGGAGATTTCGCCTCATCCGGTCAATACGGGTTGTCAAATTTCACGTTAGTCCGCATTGTCTCTACGGCTGCTTTGTGGAGGACACTTTAGAGATGTGATATTGTAACTGTCATATGTGTGTAGCTGATTTAATCTTAGTATCTGTTGTTCTGCTGGTGTTGATCGGCGATGTTTTCATGCCGGCCAGCGCCCCAGTTTAATGGTAAACTCCTCTTAATTGTGGGGAGTTGAGGAATAACCAGTAACTAACGTTACCATGAACTAATAAGTGCCAATTTAAACAGATGAATAGCAGCAGTATCCGAGATGTAGGTCTAAAATGTTTATTACCATTATTGGAAGAAGTGATCAGATATTTTATTTAAAAACTGAATTGGAAAAGTATTGGACTATAAATATTGATGCTTCTATATCACTTAAACGTTGTGTCTGGTTAAGGTAGAGCCAATATTAAGTACTTTATATACTGCTCTGTAGCATGTGAAGTCATATCTTAATCGATAATATATCAATTAGGTTGGTTGTTTTATGTTATTAGACTGAATCTGTAAAGTAATTAGTTACTAAATGTATCAAATAAATGTGGCAGTGTATAAAATACACTCATTGTATAATGTAATGAAATAAAGGTCCTATAAAGTAGGACCAAAAGGAAAGTCACCATGGCTAGCTGGTATTTATAGGTAATCCATATTTGCAAATTGCATCAGTCAGCTAATGTGGGGCCATTTGGCCAAGTAGAAGTGTTTTCCCACTCAACCAGTGCCAAAGTTAAACTTGCCCTATGCAGTTTGCTCAACTGGTGTTAAACTATGATTTATACAAAACCTCTTTGCCATCTTGGCCACTGTCACAAGTAGTTTACATAACCATCATATTTTTGTTTTGCCTTTGTAGTGTGGAGTAATGCGAGTGGAGGAGTGAAGGAGGCAGGCATCCCAGTAGAACACTGGCAGACAAGTGGGAGGCCAGGCAAAGATGCTGGAACCAGATATAGACCCGGCAAGTGCAGTAGTGGAGGGAGAAGGGGAGGGCGAGATGGAGAGCGGAGATTTGAAGGCTGAGGTGGTACGGCTGACTCTGGAACTCCAGGAGGCCACAGAAGAGAAGCAACAGGCAGCACGCTATGGCCTGGTGGTGCTGGAGGAAAGTGCTGCTCTCAAGATGAAACACCGGCAGCTGGAAGAGGAGCATGAAGCCCTCAGAGTGGAGCTACAGCAGCTCAAAGACGTAAGGGCTCCTGAGGCCTTCTAGTTATATTTAAACAGTGTATACAGCATCAATTAGCCCAGCATTCCAGATGTTATTTTCCAGTAACACACAGCTGCTTTGTCATCTTTTTTCATTTGTATTTTATTTCTTTAATATAGTGCTTATTTGCTTTTTTGCCTTTAAATATTCATGTTTGTTTTTACATGAAACTATGCTTGGCAATGGTGGAGGGCTGCTTGTAACTGAAACATTTCTTGAATTCCAGTTTAACAATTACTGACTATTTCACTGACAGTTTTAGATTTTCCCATGCATTTGTAATGTTGATAGGTCTTGAACAGCGTGTAGAGGGTATTTCACACATTTCTGGATGTCTTTTTCTTGTTGAAAAAAGACTGGTAGTAATATCATCTGTTGCTATTGTATCATCTCCTTCGGTGTTGTGCAAAACAGTATTATTGCCTGGTTTCAGATGTCACCGTTGGCAAAATATTAAGGCATATAATATCTCAATGGCTGGTATTTTGTGAAGACACAAACTCTGTGCTTCTGCTGCTCACAATGATTTAACAGCTTTTGTGTACCTTGTAGTCCTATAAAGATACTATTGTTGTCTCTTTGACATGAACCAGTGAAATGAATTTGTCTTATGGCAGCTCTGTCTGTCTGATACCACAATAACGGCTCTATTACCGATGTGACCTCATGCTGTAATTTCAGTGAAGATGCTTGTGATCGCATACTGAGTCAGTTTTGCTCTCATATGTCATCTGATGCTGATGGCATCAGAGAGAGACTTTTGAGTGACAAACACAAGCTCCACTGTATATCCTGTGCTTTTGTTGTGCTGCATTTTCTCAGTTCATCTCAGACTAATTTTGATACTTAACTGCATAGCATTAGGGGCTGAGTCAGGTTAGTGCCATGTAGTCGAGATAGAAAGATTAGATCAGTATGTTAAAACCCAGATAATCATGTAATCCATACCTTTCACAGATGTATTGGGAATTGTGGCATATGCTTCTAATTGTCTTAATTTTCTAGAAAACCTCTGTGCTTCCCAGTATTTTTTTTCCTCAAAATTACCCCACTTTTTAAATAACTGACCAATGTGCAGTAAAACTGTCAACCAATGTGTATGTTAAACCTTGTGCTCATCCTTGTGTTGACATAGTGCTGCATAACTGATGTGTGAAGGGTTGATATCGTTTCTTGGTGTAAACTTTGTCACAAATGCAGTAGATGAGTCCTGAAGGTAATAATATGCATCAACCTATTTTCTTGGTTGTTTACCTACTTAGGCTTTGACAGGGTTTTAATTAAGCGGACCAGATTCATGTTGTCTTATATAACCACACAATGATTTTCAGTTGGACATGTTAAGTAGCATTATCATTTCATTTAACATCTTATTTGATAGTTTTTTTTCCAGTAATTATTGATGAATAATGTGTCAAGCTGTGAAGAAATGCTTGTTATTACAGTGTTAGGTGTAATGAGTTGGGCTCTGCTCATTTGAAGATATGGTGTGGAAATTGCTGTGAAGGTCTAAGGTGTCTGTAACTGAACTATAGTAGCTAAGTTTCAGCTGATGATGATCATTAGAAAAGCGCTATTTCCTTGCTGGGCTTAATATGAGTAACACAGCATGAATGCATGTCTTTCAGCACTGCAGATGTCCTAAAGCAAAACATATGGTAACCAGCCAGATATGGCAAGGCTTACCCTTTCCTAAACCCTTGTTTGTTTGTGTAAAGGCATTTGCAGATTCTGTGAGCAGCCAGAAGCGTGCAGCTGCTGATGGAGAGTGCCGGGAGGAGAGCCTGCTGCAGGAAACTGCCACTAAGGAAGCTGCCATGGCAACCCGGATAGAGGAAGTCCAGGCAGAGCTCAGGCAAACACGCCTTGCCCTGAGCAATTCCCATGCAGAGATTGATAGGCTGGGTGTGCTCTCTACCCAGCTAAAGAAGGTATGGGGTGCTTACATAGTACACCGTGTTATAATGTATTAATTAATAATAATGTACTATCATGTCCTGTGTCCTGATGATACATACAATGAAGCCCTGAATCACTGGTAGGTATATTAATTGTGTAGCCCCATTCCCAAACTAAAATCAACTGCACATGACATGGTAAGTGTACAGTTAAAGCTGCACTAACTAACTTCTGTCTTTAATTTTCGACCATTAAGAGCAAAGTGACAGTCAAAACTAACTCAAGCAGTATCCCCTCCACTCCTCTTTACCCACTTGTGGTCACGACAGTCGGAGACGGTTGCTGTCAGGTAGCACAGCAGATGGCTAACAAACTAATATATAGGGAATATAGAGCCCGTGGTTTTTAGTGGCAGTGCTGTGACATATGGCCTGGTTTGAAAAACGCATCTTACAACCTTGGATCAGCAGGGGTGTGAAAGAAGTGCTGTGTGGATTTTAACAGCAGTGGCCACAGAGGGCAGGAAAGAAAACACGAGGCCTGAAGTGGGTTGGGGGTGGGGGGTTAGTACAGCAGGGAGACAACACTTCTAGACAATTTCTTTTACTTGATTTATCCAAATTTGTCCAAAATCATAGATAATGCAGCTTTAAATGTTTGACCCTTGCCCTGATTTGACAGTGGCTTGTGTTCCACAGGAGTGCGAGTGTCTGGAGGCAGAGAAAGGCCATCTGAGGGATGAGATGAAGGAATATAAAGTACGTGAGCTGCGCCAGTTGCAGGACAATGGTGAGCTTGAAGAAGAGAACATATCTCTGCAAAAACAAGTGTCTGTGCTCAAGGAAAACCAGGTCAGTTATCACGTAAACCACAACATTACTAATTAGGTTCCTTGTTTTGTTTTTTTAAGTGCACATGCAAATCTTGTATAACAGGCCTAAATGCTTTTGTTGGTTTATATGATGTAGGCATTTCTGTCCCCCTTTAAAAACCTGTCATTAGTTTTACCCTCTCTCAGTTCTATCATATATGTCCATGTAATTGCTAATTTACTATCTGAAACACGGTGTTTGCTGTGCAGATGTCATCTGTTTCCTCTTAAAGTAAGAGAAAGAAAACAGGAGATTTGTCAAAATTTTATAGGTCATCCTGAAATTGAACGTTTTATTAATTTGTTTGTCAGGTAGTTGCAAACAACTGAAATCTTTTTTTCTGTGCTCAGAATGCTTTGCAGAAATGTCCTGCATGATAAAGAATGTTCAGCATTTGTGTGGGTTGTTATTTAAAGTATGAGAAACTGTCATTGTTTGGATTCTTGAGGGTGTGATACCAGTGCTTCCAAATGCAGATGGGTCCTTTGTGTATACTTACAGCTCTGCCAAGACAAACTGTCCATGATTAGTTCTAAATGTAGCTGAGGCTTATTAGTGTGTGCATGGCCTATAAACAGTCATGAGGGGTGACAGTGGTGCGGTGGGTAGAGAAGTCGCCTTCCAACCGGAAGGTTGGGGGTTTGAATCTCGGTGCCTGCGGTCCACATGTCGGAAGTGTCCTTGGGCAAGACACTGAGCCCCCCCAAGTTGCCCGTGATGGCGGCGGGTATGCATGCAGCGGCCCAGGACCCTTGGCTCCAAACTAAATGTCCTTGTACATGTCACAGTGTTACAATGGCAATAAAATAAAGCTGCTTCTTCTTCTTTTTGACTTTTCAGGTTGAGTTTGAATCGATAAAGCTGGAGCTGACGCAGAAGAACGAGGAGCAGGATGAGCTGCGAGCTCAGCTGGAGGAGGCAGCGAGGCTAAGGGAGATAGCAGAGAGGCAACTGGATGAGGCCCTGGAAGCCTTGAAGGAGGAGAGGGAGCAGAAGAACAGCCTGCGGAGAGAGCTCTCTGCCTTGACCCTTAACCCTTTTGATTCTGTGGGGAGCCTGGAGCTCCACTTGGAGCAGCTGGATGACAGCCAGGAGGAGGGCCAGGGGGGAGAGGGAGAAGGTGAGGGAGGAGACCAGGACAGTGGTTTTAATAACGGTCCTGGGTCTGCTCCCAGTTCTGCTCACCCTCCTCACTTGGGGGGCTCCAAAAGTAATGGCCTCATCCATCGCTACTCTACTCCACGCAATAGTGACATATTCCTGCGTGCTCCAGCCTCTGGGCTGGTGTCAGACCTGCTGAGTGAGCTGCACTTTTCAGACAGTCAGAAACTCAAACAACAACTCTTGCAGGTAGGCAGCTGCACAATGTGTGCCCCTTTTTTAAATGTATTTATTTGGTTAAATTATAGAAGTGCACCAACAAGAAGTTTGTTTGTGATGGCTTGGCCAAATTTCTTCCTTTAGCGCTATTAAGAAGCTTTTCAAAGTAATTTGGTGGTGGTTGCATTCATGTGAAGTTTTAAAATCGGAAAATTTTAGACAGTGATGAATGAGCACGAAATGGTTTCTGCCTAGAATGCATGAAACTGTAGTGCATTTATATGACATCAGTTCTAACCAGGCTAGCTACCTTTTGTTAATTTTAGTAGTGCGATTGTCATTATGTGTGACTGAACTGTTGACAGCTTCCTGCTCCAGACCACATCCGCTGTGTGTTGGTGAAGGAGTGAGCCTGTCAATGTTAACGAAAACCACCTCCATACGTTGTCCCTCTCTCTGTCTGAAGAAAATCTATTATTCATGATGCATTTAAACCGGGGGCTGGGTAGCCCTGTGCACCAGATGTTGGGAGTGTGGTGTGTTATAAGGTCAGCCACTGTTTTACATAAAAAATGCATTAGGAGTGGGGTGTATGTCCCTACCTCGCAAGATTTTCATTATTTTGTGTGTGTGTTCCCAGGCTGAACGAGAAAAGTCCAGTCTAGCTAGCAAAGTGGAGGAACTGCAGATGCAGTTGGTAATGTCCAGGCAGGCGCTCAGTCAGCAAGAGGACAAGGTTGGCTCTCTCACTCAACAGTTGGAGGTTGTGCAGAGCAGCCAGCAGCACAGCCAGGAAGCAGAAGACAGGGGAGATGATGAGACGGTGAACAGGGACGGTGGCAGTGGCATCTTGGACTATGAGGTAGACACCAAGAGCAAGGAGGTGTTAGAGGCACGCATGCGTTCAGCCAGTGAAGAGCTTCTGAAGCTGCGAGATGAACTGTCTCAAGCAGGAGCTCGTTACAACACTCTGGAACAGCGATACAAGCAGGAGAAGGATCGCTGGAGAGGAGAGGCCCAGGAGCTGGCTGATAAGATCCGTCAATGCATCAAGTCCAGTAAACAGGACCAGGAGCGCATCAGTGAGCTGGAGAAGGAGATAGGAGCCACACGGAAAGTGGCAATAGATTCAGAAGGGCACTTGAACGTTGCACAGGAAGAGCTGCTGGCGTTCTCTGAGGAGCTGTCCAACCTCTATCACCACATCTGTGTGTGCAACAACCTGACACCCAAACGGGTCACCCTGGACTACTACCGTGATGGTGCCAGGGCAAGGGGCGGAGGTAGTGCAAGAAGGTCTCACCATGTCTACCCCCAGCACAACTCCCAGAAGAAGCCGGCAGTCAATGACATGTTCATCTCCAAAGCCGCAGCACTGCAGTTTATGGGGGAGGTGGACAGTGCAGGAGCCAGCGGAGACTCTCCTAATTGCCCTGGATCCCCCACGCTGGATTTCAGGGACCCTTCCAATGTTCGAAACTTGGTAGCAGTCATCCGTTGCCAGATCAAACACCTCCGGGTAAGACAGCACTCTGCTTATCGCATTTTCAGACTTCTACATGATTATTTGTGAACTGAACGTTAGAGCCAGTGCAGGTGTTCTGTGACTCGATCACTGAAAGCCAGGCATTTGTTCTGGGCGTTTGTCCTGTGCAGATTACTCACTGGACAAAATGTTCAGCTCAGACTGTTAAATGCAGCTGAGTAGCTCCTGTGTTTTTATGTTGTCACGCGTATGGCTTTGAATGGACTGGATTATCAAGGGTCAAAACTGAGTTGTGGCTTCCAATACTGAGAAACAGAAATGTCTGGAACACTGGGAATTTGTATTTTATCTAGTGAAATACATTCAGAAACCCATTTTGTTACTCTCTTAAAAATCGGTGTATTTTACAGAAACAATAAACTGGCATAACTTTTTTATAAATATCCTTCAGGTGGCAGTGGACCCACTTGGAGGAAGTATTAAAACTGAAGTCCCTTCTTAGCACCAAGAGAGAACAGATTGCTACCCTGAGGACTGTCCTCAAGGCTAACAAACAGGTAGGTCACAGCAAGCACTGGCTATGTTACAGTGTTTCTATTTGATCTCTGTGCACTGTTTCAGAACTCTAGTTTTCTGTTTCAGAGTGTTGCTCAAAATCAATCAATTTATTTTTTTTTTTAAGTTTATATCCTAATAGAGTAAGAAAGCAAATCTTCTTCTTCTGTATTATCCATGTATAATCTTGACAAAGGCAGCATGATTGACCTGTATCATCAGACAGTCCTGTGGGTTTACATGGTCCTGCACTTTGACTGCAGTGTGATTAATACACTCCTTATAGGTTGAACTCTCCTTCCCCCTTCTCGTTCCTCTGTCTTAAGCACTACATGGCCTGTTTGTCTTTCCCTGAGCAGTCACTCTCCCTTTTCTACACACACATACACAGAAACGCTGAAGGTAATCTGCTTGGCAGGGCCATGCTCACATACAGTAGTTAACATTCTCAAGCCTGATTTCTAGAACTGCGTTGGCCTCCTGTTTGTGCATGTTTTTGACATAATCATGACATGTACGCACAGGAATTTTACACTGACTGATGCATTGACGGTCTAGACAAGGACAGACTGGGCTTAGGCCTTCAGCTGTGTGTTAGTTACTGTTGTCGTGCTGTTATCACTGTCAAAGTAATGTTTTTTCATTGACCTTCCTTACTCTGATCAAGATCACTCAGAGAACCTTGTAGTCACATGGAATAGAAGTGAATGGACAGAAATGCCATTGTGTCTTTTTTATAATTGCAGACGGCAGAGTTGGCCCTGTCCAATTTGAAAACCAAGTACGAGACAGAGAAGAGCATGGTGTCGGAGACCATGATGAAACTGCGGAACGAGCTCAAAGCTCTAAAAGAGGATGCGGCCACCTTCTCTTCCCTCCGTGTCATGTTTGCCAGCCGGTAAGATTTCCTTTTTTATATGTGTGAAGAAAAACCTGCTCAGCAGCATTATAAAACTGAGCAATGGAGATTTTTGTTTGCTTTCAGATTTCTTTAAACTAAGATGTTAATTTTAATTACCTCTGATAGTCTGGCCTTTGCTACTATTCATGTCATAAGCTTACTACGCTTATTCCCCCTGTGGACAATCCACCGGTTCACGTGAAGATTACAAACCACATGCTCTGCCGTATGCCCACGGGGGAGCTGGCAAGGACATGTACCACATCAAGCCAGGCCACTTTAGTGAAGGAGAAGACTAACGTTGGCGGGAGATGGGTGGGAAGATGCTGTCAAGGGTTAAACTTACAGACCACGACACTTGACGTACTAATTACTAACTTGCATCAGTTGGCATGGGTAATTGTGTGCAGGAGTGTTTTGTACTGGGCTGAGTGAACAAACTGTTTTTGTAACTAACAGGAGAAATGTTTGCATTTTTGTTCGATAAGCCAGAGAATCTTCTTGAATATGTATTAGACCGTCTAGTCCAGACAGTTATGAGCTGGCATTTGATTAGCCTTAAGAAGGACTGGAGAACACAGCCAATGTTCAAGCTCTGCTGCTATCTGTGGCAACAGGCTAAAGATTAGTGCTTCCAAACATCACCAATGCCCATAATCAAGTTTAGTGGTGCCATCATGTGGATTTGTGGAGTGACTGCACTGCTATATGATAGCAAGGGAGTATTCATTTTTAACTCCTACACCAGTCAAGGTACATTGTCATTGTTATCGTCTTCATCTTATTCTCACAATGATTGTTAGTAGTCAGTTAAGATCAAATTAATCATTCGTATCTGCTATTTAACATGAAATATTTTTTGGCACCAGCTTCACAAACATTGAGCATTTGTGGAATTTGTCATTTTGTGGTTTAAAACACAACCAGTGTGAAGTCATGACTTTGTGCTTTGCTAACTTGTGATGGTATTTGTAATTATTTAATGTAGAATTAACAAGTAATTAGGTAACCAAAATCCCTGATTAATCAATAATGAAAATAATCTTTAGTTGCAGCCCTTGTGTTTGGTCACAGCTGATGTTAAAAGTTTGGGGGATTTTTGCTAAGGTTTTGCAGCTCATTCTTTGGCAATAAACAGTGAAATTTCTTGTGTTCTTATTCATTAAGGAGTTACGGTTAGGTTACGCAGCAGAAAAAAAGTGGCAACGCTGGAAGTTGCGAGTTTGGTATTATGTAATATGCCTTTTAATGTGTTCCAGTTCAGGGAAGCACAATCAGGGCTGCAGCAGACTCAGTGTTTGCAGTTTGGAAACATATCTGTTGTTTTTATTAAGCAATATTAAAGTTCAGTAGCAGTAAACTGACACTTTCTTCTACGCTCCAAATTGCTCCACATGTGCAGAGCACAGACACCAGGCAGAACTGCATTCAAATTAACACAGCTGTGGCTGTGCTCATTTACATCGTGAGTGTTAGTAAATACGCTGCGAAACTGAGAAATTACAGTGATGCATTGTTTTATGTACCTGAGGGTACTTTCCAACAGGTTTAGTAAATGTTCCCCTGTACGTCATATTTACAGTGTGTTGTCTTTGGCACTGTGCTTTAATTTGTTCTGGCCTGCTTGTGCATGTTGCATCTCTTCATTGTGTATGCATCTCTCAGGTGTGACCAGTATGTCACCCAGCTGGACGAGATGCAGAGGCAGCTGGCTGCAGCTGAGGATGAGAAGAAGACCCTGAATTCTCTGCTGCGGATGGCCATCCAGCAGAAACTGGCTCTTACTCAGCGTTTGGAGGACCTGGAGGCTCCTCTGTCTCCCCACAGCTTGAACAGCAGCCCCCGCCGCTCCCGGGCCAAAGAACTGGCCACCAAGTCAGGACGAGCCCCTCGAAGCCCCCGAAGCAGTCCTGCGCGGCCCCCACTGAGGAGCAGTCCACGGGCTAGCCCGGTTCTTGGCAGCAGTGTTCCTGCCATGGCCACACACCACCTGCGAGCCCTAACCCGAAGCCTCCATTCAAGCCCTGTAAGCACCCCTCTCTCTCTGTGTCCTGACAGCCCCATCCAGACAAGCAGCCGGTCTCACAAAGGCAAGGCTCTCCCACGAGATGCCACTTTCATTAGAAGTCATAGTGTCAGTGATGTTAAAGCAGTGTTGAGTCCTGGTTGTTCCCTGACACGTAAAGGCTCTCCTAGTTCTGTGAGCAGTGAAGTAATGGTCAGAACACAAGTCAGTGATTCAAGAAAGACATCAGGCCGAAGAGCTTCAGTTCCTGCACGTCAGGATACCTTCATTACAACTCGCGTTGTACCTGCCTCTTCCACCAGGCTAACGTTGTCTTTGTTTTCTTCATCCATAGATAGTCTAAGCTCTTCTAAAGCTGTGTGTGTGTATCCTAACACATCTGAAGCATGTGCTGAAAGTAGACAAAAGCCTGAACTAAAACCATACTTAGATAATTCTGTGCGGAAAAAACAACCGTTGGCTCATCTGTCTAGCTCTGCCCGAGCAGCAGCTGCATGCCGTAAGACACCTCAGTCCACCTTGGTCTCTTCTCAGTTGAATGCTAAACCTTCAGGGGTCTTGACATCCACTTCTGTTCACAATCCACCTGGTAAGACCAAGATGACTGGGGTCTCCAGAGAGTCCAGACGTAGATCATCCACCTCCACAAGTAGAACCAGTGAGGAATCGCACACTTGTGTTAATAAGAGCTCTGGTAACAAAGCTCAAGCCATATCTGCCAGGGCCCAGAGCTCGCACTCAAAATCATCTCACAGGCGATGAGATAAAATAACTTGCAGTTTATACTCTGCATTCAGCTACTTTAAACTATACAAATATAAAATATATACTATAAAATATAACTACCTTGAATACATGGAACACAGCTAATGCTTGTTGGGGCTGAAACGTTTCTTTTTATACACCTTTCTTTAACAACCGCCCCTAATTTGCTGATTTGATCATGTTGTATTGAGCTGTTTATTCTTTTAAATTACCACCACCTTTAAGTTTTTATGATTCAGTTGAACTAAATATGTTTTCTTTTGTCTCTGTCTCACCCTGTCTCTGTAGCGCTGAAACACTCCTTCCATTACTCCAAACCCCCTCCTCTTCATAAGGACCTGTCTCCATGTTGACTCCCTGGCTCCCTCTTCCTTTCCTGACTCAAGACATCCTGTCCATCCCAGATACGATGCTACATTCCCCACTCTACCCACCAGATCCAGATTTAAAAAAAAAAAAAAAATCTCTCATCCCACCCTCTCGGTCTTCTCTGCTCGGAGCAGAGAAACCTGCATGCAGCCTGAAGAAGGATGAAGAGACAAATGTGCTGCTCATTTCTCTGTGAAGTCAAAGATTGTGTCTTGTCCCAAGTGGTTCTTCATTTGGTCTTGTTCAAGGCAGTGTGTTGTGGTGAACCATAGACAGTATTAATCCCAGAATGAGAGACTTCTCATGTACAGTATGTAAAGTACTGTCCTCAGACTTCAATTCAAGCCTGTGATCTGTTTGAAGGCTGTCTTTCTTTACACTTCTGCCTTTAGTCTGGCACCTAGTCAGGCCTGTCTGGCTTTTGGTGTCTTTAGTGTCTTGTAAGCCATTAGCTCCTCTGTGATAGCTCTCACAGGTAGTTGTCTTTCTAGGTCAGTGCAGCCTTACTAACAGAACTGCTGTCCTAAAAGTAGAGAGCTTGCTGTAGTCGTGAGGTTCCTCTCTTTTACTGTTGGTACTGTTAATGCCCTTTTGATCCTGTGATGTATTTGGCTCTTTGGCTTTTGCCCATCAGCCACACCCTTTAACTAGAGGTCAGTAAACCTGCTGTTTAATTGGTGGAAATAGATCAGCCATAAGTCCACCCCCTCAGGTCAAACACAGAGTAATCAGATATGTGATTTGGCAGAACGATAATGTGCATCTACTTTGTTAACTATGCAGACCAAGTCAGGGCAGAGCCTGTACACTTCCTGCTGGTCTTTAGGATCAGGGTAGGTTTTCAAACTTGGCTTCACTTTGAGTTAACGCTGTTTTACAATAGCCATTTAGCATCTCACAGTGGCCAGCTTTTGGAAGTCACCTGAGGGTGTTAAGTGGCACAACTGCAAGATGCCCATTAGCTGATCATGTAAACTCTGTATGGGCTGTGAGTTTTAGAATACACAGTTATATAATTGAAGAATTTAAGTGATTTTCCAAAAATTAATTGACATACTCGACCATGCTCATTTCTCTCGTATACAGTCATGATAACAGTTCACATTCAGCTTCTGCTTTTTCGAACAGCAACAATATCCATGTTTTGTATTTTATCATTTAATGTCACCATGCTTTTGTGTGTTACCAAATAAGCATGTTGTAATTAACTAATGTGACCCACAGCAAGCTGTTTTTTTTTTCTTCCCCCTGTGGCTACAGCATCTGTTGTTTTAGTTGAGAATGCTAGCAGGCTGCTGTTAGGCTTGCTGTTGGTAGAAAAATGAAATAATAATGTCCCATAGTTGTTAAACATTACAGGGCTTTACTAGCAGCCCCCTGACTTGAAACAAAGAATAAATGCATTTAAGAAATGAAAGAGCTAGGACATGGGCTGCTGATAGAGCGGTTTAATGACAGGGCTATGGTTTGAGGACTGTTGCATAGGACAGTGTTAGCATGGTAACGCCACCTGTCTCATTTACTGCAGCGTAAATTCAATTTGACCTGATGTGACCAAATAGACCACACTTGGAAAATTGGCTTAAAAATGAGAACTGAATGCATTAATTTGTTTTGTAGTTAAACTGGCCTGTGGTTTAGTTGAGAATGTGAAAGTACGTGATGCCGTGTTGAATGCTGGGACAGAGGCGCCATTTTGGGAGGAGGTACCGTATTTACTTGCATACGTTCTTGTTTTGTTTGGCTTAAATCATTTTGATCTCCCTTTACCAACTGGTCATTCAGAATGGATAACCTTAGCTGACTGTAGGGGACCTAGAGATCCTGTCTACTTAAGCAACAGACTGAAAAATGACCCTGCTCCCTGTTCTCAGCTCCGCTCAGCTCTTGGTTTGTGAGCCAGTGCTAGCTAGCGGATGTCAGCAGATAACACAACACTGCAGTTGACTCGAATTCTGTCCTGTCTCTGCTCAAATTGAACACTAAAGTGGACGCATGGAGGTAGCTGAAGCATCCACTACTGTGTGTAGCTGTATGGGATCGTATTCATTTTTTAATTTATAGATGTATGGCATATAGTATCTCGGATTGATAATGAGTGTGCTGCTCCCACAATGGCGCACCTACCCAACATTCAACATGGTGTGACAACAAATTTCTATTCTCTATAGAAGACACATCCTGCTGATTGTTTTTATCTTCAGTGCTTTGGTTTTGACCTATTTTCTGACTGCAGCACCTTTTCTACAACACTGGTGATGTGACTTGTATGATGTATGTGCTTTTGAGGAAACTCACTGAGCAGTGTTAGCACTGAATCGTTATATTTCATTCTGGTAAAATATTTTCACTTTTTAGCCAGCATGCCTGGCACATGTGAAGTCATCACTGTTACAAATAATTTGACATAACTTTACCTGAAATTAATGTTCAGCAGCTATATGTATTTTGGAGAACTGTTAGCATGAGAAGAGTTACTGTGTAGAGTGTGAATGCAGAACAATGAGAGCAAAGACGTTACAGGCAGGTCCAAGTGATGATAGTGGTTTATTTGGACTGCAAGAAGTCTGTTCATGAAGTCATGCTAAAAAGTGAAAATGCTTTAACTTAATGTCATATTGCTTTGAAGGCTGTAATTTGATTTCTTTATCTATTTAAGTCACTTTTTGCAGATGTGTGTATAATTTAATTACCTTGGTTGTATAATATTTAACTCTATTTATGTAGTTTGCATTCTGTGTAAATTGTTCTAGAAGATGACGTGCACAGACCCACATAGCACAGTTGGTGTTCCTCAACTTTCTGTGTGTATGCAACTTGACCTTTTCTTGACCTGTGAACCACTTTTGTCATGAACAATAAAAAAACGGCCAACAGTGTATACTGGTTGGTGTCTTTTGAGTTAAATCTCAGTGCTAGTCATGTCAGAATACTTGAGTTACATGGGATGACACAGCAGGCTACTACTGTTGCTGCTGAATACATACTCTGTAGTACATGTGTAAAGCCCTCATTCTATAAACGTAATAGATTTCTTTCCTAGTAGGCATTAAAATGAGGGAATGAGACCATCATCCCAGTTGCCCTGGCAGCTGACTCAGCTGGGCATTGTGACTAATTACAGACTTTCCATTTTGGGCTCACAGTGAAGTGTGATCATCCCAGGGGGGGTTATTAGTCTTGTGCAAATGTTCCTCTGCAACTTCTTAATTTTTAAGTTAAAATCCACTGCAAGTAATGTAATATAATGAAGACGGGACCATGAGCTAGTGTAAAATACTGCCTTAGATCAAGAGTCCTCTTATATCAGAGTTGCCAATTTAAAAGAAAGGTTTAGTCAAATAAATTGCAGTGAAACAAGACTAGAGTTAACTAAGTGCATTAAAATACACACAAGTTAATGCAGCATCACTCCAAGCATAAGCTCAAGTCTAAGACATTTACAGCAATGAACACCCTAAATGGGCTCCAAGTTCCTCAGGACTGCTTCGAGATGTCACACAAGGTTTGAAAGATGTAGATTATTTCCTTGGCCGGGGGAGAACCTGTTTTACATTCCAACTTTTGTATGTACTGTTGGAACCTGTGTCTGTGTGACACGCTCCAGATCTTCTTGTGAGATGTTAAGATAAACAGAACAGTAGTCTGTTTACCAAATCTTTGCAGGGAAGCAAGAAGCCACGATGAGTGTTCTTATACAGAACAGTTGTGGCAGGTTATGTGTGCATACTGATGATGTCACAATAATTTGTCTGGACTGAAACTAAACTGGTTTTATTTCTATTCCTGCAGTGCAGCATCAGTTTTTTTTTTTTTTTTGTCAGTTCATTTGCTTGTTTTATACAGGTTCCAGTTTTCAAACTGAGATATAGCATCATTTTATTTTATTTTCCTACAAATAACATTTTATTTTACATTTGAAAATATAGGTCTTACTGCTTACAGCAGTTGCTATTTTAGGATAGTTCCTAAGAGCACTGGAATCATCTGACAAGCATCGAAGGGCATATTGGACAAAAGGACTTTAGCTTTTTTTTTTTTTTTTATAATACAGACTACCAGGTAATGGTCACTTTGGTTTCACCCAAATCAAAGATCCCACTCATTTTCTCTGGCCTTCTAACTAAAGTTAGAGCAATGATGATTGTGTAAGGTTTTTTAAAATTCTACCTGGTTGGTTTCAATTTCTATGCCACCAGGGCCCTTGAGCCCTCCAGGCACCACATGAATATTTCAAAGACCACTTAGTTGCAGGATTTCACAACATGTTAGAGCTGGTGTTACTGACTTTTACTTGTAGTGGTTCAATACAAATTTTGTGCGTATTTCCATCAGGAACTGAGTTTATTTACTTTTGCTCATTAAAATAATAAATGCCTTGCAGAAAAGGGTGTGTGTGACTTAATGTCCCCCTCACACAGTGACACAGTGGCGAGAAGTAAATGGGTTTGGACAGATTATGAGACAGTGCGCCCCTGAGCACAGACATGTAAAAGGCCCCTACCCACCTACACTTTTAGGACTCAGACTGAGCCACTACAAGGTTAATAGTTAACTTGTGTCTTTATGGAAGGTTTGTATCTGTCTTTAGTCACTTGGTGTTTGTGCATTTTTACTCATTTTGCATCTCAAGAATGATAAATCAGTAAAAATATATGACGTAAAAGTTCACTGTGTTAATTTAAGTTGCCCTTCAGATGTGGAGGGTTCCCAGATGTACAGGCTGCACTCAGTCAATGTGATGTGTCCATGTGGCAGGTTATTGAAAATCTGTCAAAGGTTTGCAGTGGAGTGTTTACTGGTATATTACTGACGTAAAGACAGAGACAGGAGGTCTGAGACAAGCCAACCCAGAGCAATGGCAGGGTAGCATGCTCACAAGGCTGTAATCTATGCAAACAGTTATGATCGATGGGTAAAGGCGGTTGTATTCAGACACCACGTCTAGGATAGAGATTACATGGACGTGATGAAATCAAGCAGTTAGAAATTGTCTTTGGTAGGAAGCAGCACCCAGTTAATGGTTGTTACTTGATTATCAGCCGGTAGATAAGTGTTAACTGGTTTGCTCTGTGTCAGCGGGATATAACAAAGAACGGTGATCTCGGGTTTATTATCGAGTCTGTCTTGGTTAAAACGTGATTCTTTGTCAGGGTCCCAGTCCTTGCAGATAAGGCCATTAGTACATTGATGGATAAGGCCAGCTGCACCCAGTAAGAAGATGGACCCTGTTTCTGCCCTGAGGATGTTTCACTGAGCCTAATATCCGGTGGGGAGGGGTCGGCCATATCTTTTCCGTTGGCCCCAGGGTCCTGGAGGTATGCATGTCCTGCTGTGATACGTGAGTGAACCATGAAGTTTCTCCCACTGCAGTCGTTTATTCTTTCGCCTTCTCGCTAAACCTGTATCTCAGACGTGGTGGTAGCAGCCCTGAACGCATCCCAGTCATACCAAAACTGCAATACAGAAGCAAAACCTGTTCTTTTTTACTCCACCACATTTATTTTGCAGTCTTAGTTGCAAGCTAAATTAAAATGTTTTCGTATAGCAATCACCCAACAGTAAATGGCGTATGTTGTGACCAGCTGTAAAAGTAAAATGCTACTTATGCATTAATGTAAAAGTAGCCTACAAATACACACACACGGGCAGTTTCTTGTGCATTGAGTACTTTTACATTTGATACTTAGGTTGCATTTTGCTAATATTTCTTATGTAGACTGTCACATTTTCAATGTGTGACTTTTACTTTTTTAACAGTGTGATACTGCTACTTTTATGATCTGTCTTCTTTAACCACTGCTGACTCGTATAATTCAAATAAAGTAAAAGATCATCTAATTCGCATTCAGTGCATAAAGCAGGGTCCTGAATATGTTTTCTAACTTATTAAATAAACAGAAAAATACTGTAGCTCCATATGTTTTTGGTAGATCTGATCAAGATACAGCCAGTTCTGGGCTGTGATTGGCTGCTGGGGACCAAGGCCCGCCCCTCCGGGGCGGAGTTACGTGGGGTATAGCTGGACTGAGGGCGACAATATGTTTTCATCAAGCTAGTGCAGCATTAACGCGTGTTTGCAGTAAACATGTCTCTTAGGAGAGTGGGGACAGCTCTGACCCGTACACTGTGGACCAGAGAAAACAAGAGTACCCCTGTTGCAACGTCGTCCAAAGTAAACGGGCTTTGCACCACATGCAAGGGAGCGCAGCAGGGCCGCGGGACAACAAAAGAACAAAGTTGCAGCTCGGACACGGGCAGGCCGAATGGCGACGTGCTGTGTTCCAGCGAGCAGCCTCATAGATGTGCAGCTGGGGAAAAGAAGCGATCCAAGGAGCCCGCGGGTGCGCCCGGCGTTACTGGTGTAAGAAGGCGTTCATACACCTCCACCGCAGCGCCCGTGGACCAGAGGTCCTACCTGTGGACCCGTTATAATGACACGAAGCGGCTGGTTCACGGTAAGCAGAGGGCCCCCTTTAACAGTCACCCCGAGTATCCCCAGTGAGCAGCGGCGTGTATACGTCAGCGGGGCTCCCTGCGCCCAGCTGCAGATGTTATCCGGCGCGAGAACATTGTGTTCTGTTTGTCCCGTTCGCTAATGTTGTTGTTGTTGGATTCTGTGTGCACTTCAGTTGTGAGAGGTTTTAAATAAAACGACAAAGCAACAACAAGTCAAGTAGAAGTCGGGGACCATTTGTTCTCCAGCAGTTCCTAGAGCTTTTTGTAAAAAAAAAAAAAAAAGGAAAAAGGAAAAAAAGCCAGAATGTTAGCTAACGGGAAACCTTAGCTAGAACTACTTTTAGATTGTCATGAAAAGTGTTGTTTGGGCCAGTCCACGATTTTAGTATCATTGAATTTCATCTTATATTTGACAGAAAGTTAAGGAATTGGCGTTAGTTATAACAAAACCTTTGATTAAGTTGATGGTCAAAACAGCTAAATGATGCATGGAAAATATAGGCGAGTCACTTTATTTCAAACTTTGAAGTTTTACTCGATAAACCCATAAAGTTAAACGCAGTCAGTTTGCTTATTTAACAGGCAAAGCTACCACCAGGATACAACAGACCTAATTATAGGCTGTGCTTTTCAGGCCCAGTGCCACTTGTGTTATTACAGTGGTGAGAGAAATCTCCAGCAGCCACAAGCAGCTAACTAACCAGAGGAATGCTGCTGTTAGTTGGTTCTGACTGCTAATCGTTTACCTTGGTTAGATATGGAACACTTATTAACTGTGACTTAGAAAAACAGGTTACTCACTAACTTTTTTTTGGTAAAATTTTCATCTAGAAAAGTAAGTTTGTACATTAAAGTACATGTAGTAGAGTAAAAACTACAGCATTTTCCTCGGAGGTGTTTTGGAGTGGAAATATAAAATAGCATAAACTGGAAGGACTCAAGTAGTGTTTAGTGTTTTACTGTGTGATTTCTGCTTATTTTGTTTTATTCCATTTGATTTGATTTGATTTATTCTTTCAAGCATATAAAACAGTTGATATAACAACACCCATTTTTACACACAATCCAATATCAATTTGCTTATACCTAGTACGTGCTTGAATGGAGTAGGAAGAAGTCTTGAGAGAGACTTATCCAGTCTTACCCCATGACATCATCTTACGTCATTGGTTTGCAAGCAATAAATGATTCACTTCTACACACACACATATTATACTAAAAAAAAAGAATATAATAGTGTTAACATTCTTACATCACACAAGCGATATACTAAAGAATGGTTACAAAATATACACCACACACACAATAGTCCATGTAGTTAATCATTGAGCCTGTTCTTGCATATATCTTGATTGACACATACCTTTATATTTACGTTTAAACTCGTCAATTCTATTACTATTTTTTATGTCCACACTTAAATTATTTCATAGTTTTACCCCACTTATGGAAATACAAAATCTTTTTTTGGTTGTACGTATAACATGAATTTTTAAATTTAACTGACCCCTTAAATTGTATCCCCCTTCCCTTTCATTAAATAGTTTTTGAATTCCACCAGGTAATAAATTGTTCCTGGCTTTATACATAAACACAGCAGTCTTATATCCCACTAAATCCAGCAACGTCTATAAAGCCAAAATCCCAAATACTATACAACGTAACAAGCACTTCCCTGCTGC